ACAAGAAATGTTTGAAGATTGGATCCATGCAATGGAGTGTATAAATGACTTTGAAGAAAAAGCTATAAAAATCATGAGTTCATGGAATTTGAGAATTGATTTTGGAATTATTATATTCATGAAATTATTGGTTTAATGATCAATTTGATGGTCGTTTTGGAGATTGAGATTTGGGTTAATCTAGGTTTGAATGTAATGTAAAATTTGGGAATTTTGGTGTTAGGAAATTTACATGTTGAAATTGATTTGATAAATGGTGGATTGGGTATCTCTATGTTCAATAAACGATTTTGGAGGAATTTTATTAATGATTGAAGTGGTTTTACCTAAGTTGTTGGGTTTATGAAAATGTTCATTTTTGACTTTTGTGGCTTAATTGATGGTGGTATTGTGCATATAAATTGGTTGGATATTTAAAAAGGTTAATAACTCAAAAATGTACAACGGATGGGTGTTGTGGAGATTGGGTAAGTTGTTTGTTTGGGTGACTTGAAGTTGGAGGAGTTCTTTAGCTTGTCATGCCATAGCATGTCTTATTTAGGATCAATTTTGTAGATATTGTAATTTTCATTGAAAGCTTTTCCTTAATTTTAGATCCTATTTACTAATTGTTAGGATTGAAGGAAGGCGTCTCTACACCTCTTGGGAATTAATTCGTAGGGTTTCAAATCTACGCTTTTGCTATTTTTAGAGGTGAGTATACTTACGATGGAAATTTACCTTATCTCTATCTTTAATACAAAGTTTGAAAATATTTTTTGAATTAAAGGAAGTAACACATTTCATCATGATATATGTATAAGAAGAAAATCTATAAATTTATTGAGGTCAAATGTTAAGCTTAAATAAATATATGATTTCATTTGTATAATAAAGCACTAATTTTTTTTATGAGAATTTATTTAAGTTGAGTCCTTCAAAGTTTATGATGATGATGATTAAATGACAATGAAACATCATGCGAGAGTATTTATTTTTATTGATCATATAACCGAATATAGCCTTTGGGGCCACAAGGGCCGAAATGCTTTGCGGTCCTGGGGACCGAAATGTTTTAAGGACCATAAGGGTCGTTGTACATAAGGGGTCCTAGGGACCGAAACATTGAAATGAGAATTGAAGTGCTACGATGACAAAAGTTATGTTCCTATGATTATGTTTTGGGTAACAGTATCGTCACCACCTAAGTCGTGAGGTAACGCGACCCTAAGGCTATGTAATGGTTTGTATGATGGACATGAAATCTTAAGGTATTGAAAAGTTGTATTTTTGTTTATTTTCCTTATTAAAATGTATTTTTCCTGCATTATGAGATTCTTTGAAAAAATCTTGATAACGGTTTATGCAAAATTTTCTCAATTTTTAAAAATTTCAGTCCAATTAAGCTATTGTGTTTATTATCTTATTTTGAACCTAATTGGAAGGAGCAAGCTTTATAACTCCATGGGATTGGTATACTCATTGGGCTCTAGAACATTTTTTTTAATTTTTTTTTTTTTCCAAATTTCTAGACTTTTGTGTGGCTCGTCTCAACTTGGAAGATTAGAGTTTTTGGAGGATTAAATGTGAACATCTGGTAGTTGAGGTTTTGTTTAGGGTCACTCTAGGATGTAGTTTTATCCTTTGTTTTATGAAGCTGGTTGATTATAAATATTTGCTTGTGAAGTTGGATGTATTGATAGATTCACGAATAGTATGATTTATTTTGGGGGGTAGTGGTGCATGGGAACTATCTTAGTAACATGATGATATTTTTGTCTTTGAATGGATCATCTCATATATGTTGCCCAATTGAAGGGTCTTATGCACTATTGGTGATGTGATATAAGAATTAAACAGGTGATTATTGTGTACAGACATTATAGCATTTGATCTCGATAAATAAATTTCATAAATATCAAATTTAGACATTGGATGCATAGAATGAAAGATGATGTTTTGAAGATTGAAAAAAAAAAAAAAAAAATTACCTAAAAAAAAAAAAAAAAAAAAAATTTACCTAACAGCTGAACACACCTTTGACACCCTTGCGCATCTTAAATATAAGGGTGACGCCATCTGACAATAGATGATAATTTAAAAAGGCTTTTAATCTCCCAAACAGTTTTAATGTGGGTTAACAAACTTACGTTAGGACCTATCCTTTGATAAGTTCTTATGGTTAAATGTTACACTAATTTTTCGTATTATTTTGGCCCTCTAATTAAGTAAAATGATGTAAAAGAATGCTAAATTTAAAATCTTCCTTTTCACTGATTTAATCTACCAAGCAACCTGAGAATACAACTAAATTGTTAAGTAACCTAACAATCAACACAAAAATCCCTATTAAAGAAGATTTATGTAGTCGATCCTACTTGATTGGAACATAAGACTAATTTGATTTAGATTTAGTTTGATTTTGTATGAAGGTCTCACAACTTTCAAAATACTTATTATTCATCAAATGTTTTCCAAAAGTTGAGTTACATGGTATGAACCTTCTGTCCATTTACTTGATATGAAAAATGAGATCAACTAATGTCAAAATGTCAACTTGATCAAAAAGTGGGATGCAACATGGGTAGTGCCAGCATGAGCTTTTTGGTTCCTAAGCAAACTTTTACGGTGGATTCTTCATACATATTCATAAATAATAAAATAAAAAAAAATTGAAAAAATTGTGAGTAAATAACAAGTACTCACATCCACATAAAATTTACTTGTATATATAATTACTTAAATTATATGCTAAAATTTGCTTCCGTACATTAGATCTGAAGAAATCATTATAAGAACTCAAAAACATAAAATATGGTCTTGTTTCATAGTTTAACAAAATCTAGTTTATAAGGAAAAAAAAAAAAAGCCAAAAACAAAATCCAAAGTCATAATAAAAATGAACTAGATCCAGTGAAAAATTACTATGAAACTCATCTATATATTTGTTTAAAAAAAAAAACAAAAAAAACTCATCTATATATCTTGAATTTTAGATTCCAAAAAAAAAAAAAAAAAACAAAGAAAACTCATCTATATATCTTGAATTTTAGATTCCATTCTTTTCTTGCTAAATGTAAATGAAATGGCTCTTTGGATGCTGGACTTGAATAGAGACCCTCATTTGAATGAGGATTAAAAGGATAATTTTATTCTATTTATGAGTAAAAAATTGGAGCTTTTAGCAGTGATTTGTGCGCTTATGCACAAGGCCAACCTTGGTGGATCATGAATCACCCCTACAACGATAATATTTGGAGCAACCTCTACTATAAGGGTTAAATTGTGGTGGAAGACAACCACCAGTCTTACTGTAAGCTTCACCACTTGCACCACCATTGCATACTGGTTGATTTCTCTTTAAAGCTCCTGGTGATATGTACTTCTTCATCTCCAGAAACCTTTGGCTTACCTCTGACTCCATCACCATCTCCAAGTCGACATTACATTCTGCTATCGATCCGTTGCATTGTAAAATTGCATCACTGGTCATAGAGAGAGAGAAACTTCAAGACAAAGAAGGCAAAGGAGTAGGAGAAAGTAGAGATGGAGAGGTATAATGGTAGGGCTTGTTTCCATGGCTTCTATGGCTTTACTTTGTTCCTTCCCACTATGAAGCACTTATAATGGAAATGGAGAATCCAAACTTTTTAAAAGGATGATAGTGGAAGCCAAACTAGATGCAGATGGACGACACTTTTACCGACCTTGTGACCTTACTTTGATGGTGTTTGTTTAGAAGGATTTAAGTATGGGATCGAACTAATAATAGTCAATTCATATTAATAGTATGTTGTTTGATTGAAAATTTTTACACCGGACTATGAATTCCAAATCTACGGGATTATTTTATCTTAGGGGATGGGACACCATCTATAGGATAACTCATTCTATGAGATTAGGTAGTGAAATTAATTTTTTGACCCTCTATTATTTAATATCTTTTTAAAAATAAAATTTATGTATTAAATTATTTATACTATTATACTTAATAAAATTTATTTATTAAATTATTTATACTTTATTAAATTATTTATTTTAGTAATATGGTATTAATTATACTTAGTAAATTAAAATAAAATTTCAAAATCTCAACTACAAATTAAAATAAATTTGTGTAATTTTTATTAATATTCTATTTATTTATTTTTTTAAAAGTTCTAGTAAAAAAATAAATAAAATTTATAATTCATATTTAGTATTCCTATTATTTAGTAAATAATTCAAAAGGGCAAAATAGTCTTTTGAGCATTATCATTCTCCATAATATTCCAAACAAACATAGGATTCAATAGAATAGTTCAATCCAGACATATAATCCCATGACGAAACAAATATAAGATACAAATCCAGTCTAACCAAATAGTTTGGGGGCAATATATCTAAGGACTAACAGTTTGGTGGATTACAATCCTCCCTTATCCAGTCCGTTCAAACAAACACACTCTTTAGTTATTATAATAATGTCTTTTTTTAATTAAAAAAAAAGTAAGTTTTTTTTTGTTGTGAAATATTTTTAGGTTGTGTTTGACTTTTGAATTTGTAGAAAAATTTATGAAGAATAATGAAAAATAGGGGGAAAAAAAAAACCTTCTACTTTATTTATTTATATTGCGTTGATTAAGAGTTTTGTAAGTACGATTAATTCTTGATTACAATTGTAGTTTTCAATGGCTTTGTGGGTTTGGTTGTGAATTGAAGTGATTTTGATTACGAGGCTTTGTGGTGTTTTATTATGAGCTGAAAGGGGCCTTGGTTATGAAGCTTTTGTGGTGCTTTTGTAGTGAATCACTTTGGCTTTGGTTATGATCCAAATTCGTAGAACTTATGAATCTTTGTGGCAGAAATTTTTAATGCATACGGTATGTATCTTTCAGGAGTGTGTATAGTTTCAAGAATTTTGTAGGTAGATTCTACTGGTACATTGTTAATTTTTCTTGGGATAAAACATGATGTCCAGTGTCCACAAAGTTATGGTCGTTTCTTCTCTTTAATGATTATCAATTTATTAGTGCCGCTGATGCTGACATTTTTAGCTCATCAAAACATTCAAGTAGGAAAAAATTGCCCAACATAAATCCACTAGTATAAATAAACTTAACAAATATAAAAAAGACCCTATACACACATAAGAAACAAAGACATACATATACACAAAAAGTGAAAAGAACCAAATTCAAGCTCTCTTACAGAGATGCATAGACTCTTTGCTAACCGATTTACTCATCATAATCCGAGTCAGACATTGATCCACTCCGTCCTGCATCAGAATTTAAAGTTGGAAACAGTTCATCAGACATTGATCCACTTCGTCCTACATCATAATTTGAAGTTGGAAACAGTTCATCAATAGAGAAGACGTTGCTCAGTTCATCAATAGAGAAGACGTTGTTGTAAGAACTAGGTTCGGTCATAGATAACTCAACACCAATCTCGATACGAGTCTCCCAAGTCTCCTGCAATTGCAATGCTAGCTGGAGACTCGTTACCACATCATTCATCGAGGGTCGTTGGATTACCCGATAAAGAATACAACTCAATGCAATCTTGACAAACTCCTTGAAGCATTCTGGTGCTATTTTCCCAATCAGATATGGATCAATGATTTGATCAATGGTTCCTCTTTTGCAGCTACTTTTGAACCAACAGTGAAGGGAGTACTCACCTTCATTCGGGCCGGAAGTATGCAATTTCTTGGCACACAATAATTCCAACAACACCATACCAAATGAATATACGTCAGATTTTGTTGTCAATTTTCCATGTAAGTACTCTGGTGCAATATATCCAATAGTGCCACAAATCATTGAAACTGTTAATGATTCATTTGCAAAGTTATTGGGTATTAGTTTAGAGATTGCAAAATTAGTAACTTTTGCAACCCAATTCTCGTCCAACAGAATATTGGCTGGCGTTACGTCGCAGTGGATAACTCTATGCTTCACACTCGAATGGAGATGTTGTAGTCCACGTGCTACAGCAATGCAAATCTTGAGTCGCTCTTTCCACAAAAGTGGATTGCGATTTATTTTGAATAAATGATCTTCCAAGGATCCATTTGTCATGTAATCATACACGCCGATTAACTGTGATTTCTCATTGTAGAATCCAATTGGAGAGACTATGTGGGGGTGACTGTCGAGTAGGGAGTGTACCTCAATCTCAACCGTAGCTGCTTTCCGGGCTTGCCTTGATTGCAACGTCGCCAACATTTTGATCGCAACAATACCGGTCGCCCCATCCAAATACCCTTTGTACACCTTGCAAAGCTGACCTTCTCCAATCAAACGATCCTCACTGAAATCATTTGTGGCTGCTCGAATATCAGCTAGTGAGAAGCGACGGAGTTGTCGGGTGACACTATCTGGAAGTGGTTCCCAAAATGAATCATTTGATGGTCCATTCTCATTTCTCTCCCTCCACCAACGATTCATACCTTTAGGCACAGTTGCAATACCCCGAAGCACCTTTCCGATTATTCCCCCTGATCGTCCTTTACGTTGTGACAACAATGCAAGATCAAGAGTCCCCACCACTTCAGCCATTGTAGGCCTTTCCTTTGAACCAGTATGTAAACAATTGCAGGCAACTTCTACAAAGTACTTTAGACTTTGTGGTGTTATTTGCCCAATCAATGAGGGATCAATGATTCGATCAACCTTTCCCTTTTTAATGTGTCGTTGAGCCCAAAGGATTAAGCTAATTTCCTCCTCCTCGAGTCTTGTATTCACCGGCGGCCTCCCGCAGAGAACTTCCAACAACACCACACCGAAGGCATACACATCAGATTTCTTGGTTAGTCTCTGGGTATAGAAATAAACTGGATCAAAATACGCGATTTATTTTGAATAAATGATCTTCCAAGGATCCATTTGTCATGTAATCATGCACGCGGATTAACTCTGGTTTCTCATAGCAGAATCCAATTAAAGAGACTATGTGGGGGTGACTGTCGATTAGGGAGAGTACCTCAATCTCAACCCTAGCTTCTTTCCAGAGTTGCAATGATTTTGACTCCTTGAACCTTTTGATCGGTACCAGAATGAAGGTAGTCTAACCCTCGTGCTGCACCGATGCAAACGTTGAGCCTTCGCTCCCATGTGAGATGAAAAGTACTAATTTCAGTCTGGTTTCTACTGGTTTTATAGAGATGATCGGCTAGGGTCCCACGAGCCATGTATTCGTAAACAAGGATCATTTCTTTGCAGTCGCTGCATTGGCCGATCAGAGAAACAAGATGTGTATGTCGGAGCTTAGACAACATCTTGACCTCATTCCAGAACTCCTCTGCGCCTTGATTGGACTCTGCTTTCAACCTCTTTATGGCAACAGCTGTAGCACCATTGTCGATGAACCCCTTGTATACCTTACCAAAGCCGCCAATCCCAATAACTAATTCTTCATTAAAATTGTTGGTCATTGATTGTATCTCAGCTAGTGAAAAGCAACGGCATGGGTACTCAGATTTAATCACAACGCTTGAAATTGCATCATCAGCACTTAAATCAGACATATCTTTGATATTTGGTACCAGTAACCCTAGAAGATGATGAAAAAAGATGAATTTTTGCCGTATGATTTGTGTTGTATCGGAAAATATATGAAACAAAAGATGAGTGTTTTAGAAGATGATCAAAAAAGATGATCAGAATATATGAAAGAATATACCAGTAACACTAGAAGATGATAAAAAAAGATTAGTTCTTAGAGATGAGAAAGAAACAAAGAGTGGTCTCTGATTGAAACAGGAGTTAATGTAAGTCGCGGTCAATGTAGCACACCGACGACTTGTCAACGAACCCATTAATATACCTTACCAAATCCACCAAACCCAATAACTAATTCTTTATTAAAGTTGTTCGTTGTTGAAATCGCATCCTCACCGTCTAAACCTGACATATCTTGAGCTTTGGGGGATATATATATATCAAAGAATGTGGCAGTTACACTGGATTCAGATCTCTAGTGATGTTCAAAGATGAGTTTTCAGAGACGAGAAAGACAAAGTGCTCTCTGGTTGAAACGGTATTAATCAATCAAACTGTCCTCTGCTCTCTTTTTGAAACATTGACTTCAATGTTTTGCCCTATGATTTGCGTTGTATCGGAAAATATCATTTCGCCCATTAAACTTTCATGTATTTTTTAATTTGACTTCTATATTTTGATTAATATCAATTTCACATTCAAACTTTTAAAATTTTGATAAATTTGGCCCCTGTTATAACATTTCGCCAATAATTGGATGGAATGTGCTGATGTGGAGGGCTAATTGATTTTTAAGGTATAGTTTGAGGAGTACAATGAAATTTCAAATGAACTTTAGTGTTACGTCAACACATTCCGTCCAATTGTAAATGAAATGTGATGACAGGTCAAATTTATCAAAATTTTGAAAGTTTGAATGTAAAATTGATATTAATCAAAATCCGCAGGTCAAATTAAAAAAATGCGAAAAAGTTTAAGGAGCAAAATGATATTTCATCTGTATCCTTTTAGTAGTGATGTTTAATGTAGAATTAAAATTATTACTGTATTATTGTTATTATTATTATTATCAACGGGAAAAGGTCAAGGACCAAAAAAATAATATACAATTTGACTTTTTTTAGTCATCTTTTTATACAGAAAATATTGGAAGTGGACTAATGAGCAGCCACCATTATTCTAACTCTACCCTTTGGACCCCCACTCCAACAACCTTCCTTTGGTAGCTCCCCCTTCTGTCACCTCCTCCGGTTCCCATCCCCTACTGCAAATCCTTTTCTTCATTGGTGACCCCCTCTCTCTTCCTCCTTGACAACCCTCATCTCCCTTGAAACTATAAGTGCATGTTTGATTAGTAGAATTATAGCATATGATTCAAATTGTTAATTCATGGATTCACAACCTTATATTTGATTGCAAATTTTATTAATCAAATTACATGTACAACGGTCATTTAATTCGATGAAATCAACAAATTTTTAACATTGAGGGGATGTGGATCATAATTTCAAATATGAAAGAAAAATAAAATAAAATGAAGATATAATAAATGGTTACTCCAACAGCTGTAGCACCGTTGTCGTTGAACCCCTTGTATACCTTACCAAATCCGCCAATCCCAATAACTAATTCTTCATTAAAATATTATGTTCGTTGTCTTATAAAATCTTAATACCATGCCTTTAAACTAAAATCCTTTGAAAAAATCTATGAAATAAAAAATATATCATTCAAAACGGACTTGTAAAATTATGACATGTTGAAATTTTAAAATCATAAATGATTTGTTTTTTACTTTAAGCTTCAAGTACCTATTTGTCCAAATCAGGGCAACAAATAAGTTAAAATAATTTGAACAAATAAATAAAAATATTAGGACAAATAAATTAAAATAATTTGGATAGATATGTTAATATATGGGAAGATAGGTTAAAAAAATTTCAATAGATAAATAAAAAGGATATGACTTCCCTTAAGTTGTGATCTCAGTTTGAGAGAGCATTTGAATTTGATAAATTCATTTTAAAATGAATTTCGATGATCCAAACTATTAAACAAATACCCAAAATTATGAATATTTTAATTTCAGCCAGTGAACATGAAAATTAATATCCATTAACAACACTACAATTTATCAAACCACATACATGTAGCATAAGTGATGATACAAAATTCAATCTCTTAAATCTTAGAAATATATATGATCAAATATATTTGATGCATTTTTTTTTTTTAATTTTTTTATTGAAACAGGAGTTAATCTAAGTAGCGGTCAATGTATCAAGCCGACGACTTGACTCAGGCAATAGAGTTCAACAGTCGGTGTGGTGTGATTTCAGTGTGGACCCATCAACAATCATTTCGTCTCCTAAATTATTACCTATTTTTTAATTTAATTGTTAAATTTTGATTAATATTAATTTTATATCTAAATTTTTAAAATTTTGATCGATTTGATCATTGCCGTCACATTTCGTCAATAATTAGATAGAATGTGATGATGTGGGGGATAAATTGATTTTTAAGGTATATTTGAGGGACAAATTGATTTTTAATTTGGGCGACAAATTAATTTTTAAGGTATAATTTGTGAGGTAAAATAAAATTTCAAATGAACTTTGTGCCACATTAGTACATTCCGTCTAATTATAGACGGAATGTGACAGCAATGGTCAAATTGATTAAAATTTTAAAAATTTAAATATAAAATTAATATTAATTAAAATATGAATGTCGAATTAAAAAATACGTAAAAATTTGAAGGACAAAATATTTTCTCTATATTCTTTTAGTAGTGATATACCTTTTGTCGTTTTACTTTTTGATGTATTACATGTAAATTCAGGCTAAGGGCTTAATGTGTATGAGTTAGTACTCTTTTGTTGTAACCAAGTGTTAACTTGGAAAGCTGTAAGCCCAAAGGGCATTTGCTTTTGTTGTTAACATGTAATACTTTTGTAATGAAATTCTGATATATGGAAGAATGTGGAACTTTTACATATCAGTGCATGTCTTATTTGTTGGGATTAATGTTATTATTTTGAGGGCGTTACACCTCCTGTCACCCTGCCCCAGTTCCCATTGCCTATGGCAAATCCTTTTCTCTATAGTATTAAAGCATAAAATTGAAATTGTTAATTCATAAGGTCATAATCTTATGTTTGATTGTAAATTTTATTAATTAAATTACATGTACGAGAGACATTCAATTCGACGAAATCAGTGAATTTTTAACATTAAGAGGGGGCTAAGGATCATAATTTCAAACATGAAAGAAAAATAAAATAAAATGAATACATGATAAATGGTTACCTCACTAATTTTATTTGAGAACTAATTTTACACTAATTCATAGGATTATTAATCATTTTACTATTAATCCTGTTAATCAAACAAGGCCTAAGAAAATTTAGTTCCGAATAGGAGCTCTTAACAGATTGATGAACTCTATCAAGTATGGCAGACATTAATAATAATAAAACACAACTCACTCATATATATAAAACAAAGCTTGTAGATATGTACGACCTGAAGGTCGTACATGGCTCCTAAGGAGACACAAATACCTCAATAAAAACTCTATATATTCAAATTTCTTTTTTTCCTTTCTTGTTTTGTCTTTATTATATTGTTATAATGATCACTAACCTCTTTATAGAGAGGACTTTTTACATTCACCAAATACATTCATGTACTTTCCTAAATAAATACATTCACCAATACACATTGAACTTAACCAAATGACACTTCAAACTTTAAGATTCTAATACATAAACTAAACATTTTAATGTATCTAACATTAATTCTAAATTAAATTCCAACAAATTCCTCTTTAATTTTGAATTTCGTCACTCCATGTTTTCACCAATGATTCTTCACTAGGATCAAACACATCTTTCAGTTGCTTCTTCAAGTTTTCATTTTCAGCAAATTTTTTTATGTACGAGTCACACAAATCTGCATACAAACTCGTTAAAGTTGATATTATAGCAATTCTAGTTTAGACTTGACCCATTTGGTGTTTTGAATATGGATTTCATTGTCTTATATGGTTGTTCATCTTGTACTTCATTAAGTTTGGTTAGTAGAGTGTCTTGTTGGCGTTTGGAACAGCTTGTTCATGTCTTTTTGGCCTCTTTGCTCTAGCGTAATTCTTACGCTCGAGCAGTTTTTGAGAACTCGCAGTACTTTTACAAGCCTACAAAGATGCTGGGAGGGTGGCATTCTTCGCTGAAGCAGTCTTTATTGTGCTCAAGTGGTGTTGGCTCGAGCGATGTTTCTTTAGCTCGAGCTGTGGTCCTCTGCTTGTAAAACTTTTGAGAGTTGGTATTCTTCGCTTGAGAGGTCACTTTGTGCACTCGAGCGGTCCCACTTATCGTATCTGGTTGTTCAAGCGACATTTCTTGCGCTCGAGGGGTCTGAGCGTATATGAGTTCGTAAAAGTCACTTTTTGGGTCACTTTTTCATCTCTCTGTCTCTAAACATTCTAAAACCCCTAAATCTAGAGCCTCTCTCTGTAGAACTCACATTCTCTCTACAAATAGACCTAAATCCCTTGATTTCTTCACCCTAGTTTCCTTGTAAAAAACGTAAAGCTCGACGAGGGCTTCCATTTAATTTGAGCGGATCGTCTTTTCGTTGTCGGTGGTTTTTTCGGCTTGTCTTCTCTTCACTTCAAGAGGTAGGGTCTATTTCTTTAACTCGACGTGAGTTTGTTGGTGTATTTGTGGTATATTTTGATATATAGATCTTGTGATGCTTATATTGATTTTTGAGGTATATTTTGTGTGTTGAAGGTTTGTTCAAATTGGGGGTTGTTGGTTATGATTTTGCTATTAAAAAGTATTCTTGGTATACAAAACTTGCATATGATTTTGTAAAAGAGCAAAACCCCAATTTATAGAAGAATCCTAAAAGAAGTTGATTTTGGGAATTTGGGTAGAATTATGGAAAATGGATTTGGTTGGAAAAGTATGTTGATGTTTTGGAAAAACACCGAGTATTAAATACTCTTTTGGAAATGTTCTAGAAAAGTGATTGTTGAAATTGTTGGATTGTATATCCGTAGTGTTGTCTTTTAATTATTGTATTAGAGATAACTGTTTTGGCAATCGGTAGAGAATAGCATTGCCGTCTGTTAGAAATTGCATGTGGATTAGGCAAATTAAAATCATACATGTCATGTGCACGTTATGGATTTTGAAATGGATTTTGGAATTGGAACTGGAACTAGAACTGTGTATTTTCGAAAATGTTGTTTTGGAAACTCTCGTATTATGTGTTGGAACATTTGCATTGTTTTGGAAAACAATATTTTGGATCATATATATTGTGCTATCGGAAAAAGGTAAATAAAGTGATAAAGCTGTGAGGGGGTGTTAAAGCCGAATTAAGTTGGCTTTTGTGTCCATGGTGCAAGAAGTAAACTTGCGCAATAGGTGTCGAGCCTTCTAGTTAGTGCCGGTAAAAATGACCTTGTAACTTGTATAGTTACTCGTATGAACATCAGCCCTGGAGATTTATCCATTTTATTTATTATCATTTTGGTTTTGGAACATGATGTTTGGTTATGGTTTTAACAATGTATTTGTTGGCTGGTATTGAGATACCTAGATTGGTTTTTGGAAAGAAATTTTATATCTACCAGATGTTTTGAACTCGAAAAGCGTTTTGATTAAACGTAAGGTTTTGATAATTGGAAAGAAAGGATTTTGTTCAGAAATCAAATGGATTTGAAATTGCATTTGGGGATGTTGTATATATGTATTGCATCATGATCATTTATGCTGGTAGAGCATGTTTAGTTTTTGAAATATTCTCTTCTAGGCTTTATGCTCACCCTACGTGGTTGAAAATATTTTTCAGGTGCACATGTGTGGATGTGGACTGAGATGTGAAGTTGTGTTCGAAACCGTGTAGGGTGGTTCTGTTATTTGTAGGCCATGGCCATTCATGTCATTTATTGGTTGTGAGCCGTTTTGTTAAGGGTTACATCCTTTGTGTATGATATAAGCCTCTGGGCATTCAATTTAATGTATAACACCTGTGTATGTTTTCATTACAGGACATCTATTCGATTTAGATGTTGTATCTAGGAATGTATGAAATTGGATAAACACACGTATTGTGCAACTATATTATATACATCTGCATGAGGATTGTTATCTATTATTTATTGTTGGGTGGTCTATTCACGTGGGCCAGACTCCATAAATCCAGGGCGTGACAAATATCGCGAATCTAAATTCCATAACGACTTTTCAGATGTTCAGTTGCTTGAAATGTAGCTTGTTGCTCAGCTTCTTTATTTCACTACTAAAAAAAGTACTTTTTGTGACCACTACAAGCCATCGCAAATAATAGATACCGTCGCAAAAGACCTTTTGCGATAGCCCATGCAACGGGTAATGGGGGTCGCAAATGTGGGGGTGAAAAATACTTTTTGTGACGGCAAAGCAGCTATGGCGGCCGCTATTTTGCTGTCACAAATATCAAAGAAAAAATGCTAACATGTTTTTTAGCGACTATCTTGTTATCGTCGCAAATAATTTTCAATGACATTTGTCGCAAATAATTATTTATTAGAAGATTTAGATGAAACTCCAAAGTAGCATTATTGTACCACGCATATCACAAGCAAGAAAACAAAATGAATAACAATAATAATAGGTACATCCGTAGCGCACAAACACAAAAGCAAACCG